CTGCGGCGAGCCATGTGAATTATTGAAAATTTCTATACATATATATCGAATCAAATGTAGTGAAAACAGTGACGAAGTTTTTGAAAAAAAAATTAAGTCGCTAACTTTAACGGTTATAGAAATATGAATTTTTATCCGGGAGCTTTGAAATGCGCTCTGATGCTGAAAGCGGCTAGCGGCTACCATTCAGGAAATCATCTGCGTTAGTGCGTTAGCGTTACATCTAGAAATAAAATAAAAAAATCTATAAACATAAAGTAATTGATTGAATCCTTTTTTATGAAGGTAGTTTAAATATTTTCTCCTTCGTCATCCTCATATAAATCAGGAATATTATTTTGACAACTTTCGCAGGAACAATCGCTGCAGCATGTTAAACCCTCTTTCAAACAGACACATTTATTATTTTGACATAATTTATCTTCGCAGAAGACATTCACTAGTTGCCCTATATCCAGTGGTACGGGATCAGCAGTCATCAAAACAGGCTCAAAAATTCCATTATTCCTAGTCTAAACAAAGTTAACAGGGTCAAGTATAGGCATAATAGGTATATGACTGGATATCCATATACGCAGTTGATATAATTATGCACCTGAAATTTTGTTTATCGCATAAATACAGCTTCTTTTGTTATATATACACCTAGCTCAGTACATGCTGGTAAAATACATCATCTGTGGGTGAAGTTCAGAAGCGTATTTATTGGAAGTTGTGATCAATTGATATTTCAATTCATCGAGGGTTTTTAGGGACTCGTTCTTATTTCTGAATAAGGCCAATGCAAATTTGGTGGCAATATAAGGTTCCAAGATTTTTAGAAAATACATTTTTTGCCTTTGCATTTGTGGTATCGCATCCTGTTGACACATGCAGCGCTGGTAAACATTTATAAACTTCATATTCCAGTTTCTGCACTATTTATTGGAATGATCCGTTTTTTTATTCCCTTGTCCTAATTCCATAAAAAGGTAGGTTTCCTCCAAGGAACTTACTTCAATAAATTCAAAATAGTGGTAAATAAGTAATACCAGAACATTTGCATCTGCAGACTTCACCAACACTTTTTTTTGGTGAAGTATCTGATATTCATATAAAGCCCGGGACACATTTACCATGCATTCTTCCGATCCGACTCCGATCATACAATCAGGGTTCTTATTCTTGGAATAGGGAGCAGCGTTCCCAGGAGAACGAGTGTTCCGCTGCTTCCCTGTTCCAAGAATAGGGACCTTGATTGTATGATCGGAGTCGGATCGGAAGAATGCATGATAGATGTGTCCCGGTCTTAAGACGTGGATTATAATAAGTCGTGCATCAGTATCATCATGATTCGATTTCAAACCTTTCAATTCGGTTACACGGTTACACCATCCTTGTTGACAGAAAAGTATAACTCTGGATTTTCAAAGTCACCAGCGATGATCAGAGTTTCTTCTATTTGTCAGCTAAATGTTCCAAAATATAACCAGTTACAAATTTCAATAGGGATTCTTAATTTTCTGACAATTTTAAAAAATTCCGAAACTTCATCACTTTTCTCTTTCCAGAAACTTCATACGCATACGTATCTGCGAAGTTACTTCTTCTGCGTCTGTCCAAAGACTTGACCGATTCATCTATTAAAAACCACCGTTATCCTCAGTGCTTCATACCTTCGACCAAGTGAAACAATTTGCTTCAGAAAAATACATGCGGGTTCATTAAAAGTGGTTCAAAGTGACAAACGCCTAGGCTGTGACGTCACACAGTTAAAATATGTGTAAAATTTTCCAAGACAAAAGTCAACGATCTCACTTAAAGCAAATTGCAACCACTTAAAGTATAGGGCACGGTTCAACCACTGAACAAGCAGAAGGCTATGATTTCGGTGGTTAGCCGGTGTGACGTCACAAGTTCCCGCAAAATTTATTTTCATGAAGAATTTTCTCGGATAGTATGTTGAATGAAAGACTGCGGTTTCCACGGGCGATCTTAGATTTTTTTTCTTGATTTAAGTAGCCTAAGTTGCTTTTTTTAGTCACACCCTTGTTTAAAATCAGTTCGAAGAGAAGCAACTGTTGAATATGGTTCAAACTTTGATAATAAATCAGACTTAGCTGTTTTTCGCATACGAACGCACAAAACTGGAAAAGTCAGAAAATGCACCTCTCGGTGAATGCACGAAAAATTCCGTCGCGACGTGGTTCACGATGGGCTGAGCGCGCTCCAGGGCTCTTGGATAAAAATGTATATTTCTATAACCGTTAAAGTTAGCACCTTAATTTTTTTTTCAAAAACTTCGTCAATGTTTTTACTACATTTGATTCGATATATATGTATAGAAATTTTCAATAATATACATTGCTCGCCAAGGGCGTACCCAGGATCTGAAATAGGGGGGGGCTGACCAAAAAAAAAAAACAATGGATTTTGCATTTCTCTTTTTAATTACTAAATTTTGACATAACTCGCTTAATTTTTACTTCAATAACAATTTTCTTGGATTTGTCGCAAATTTATTTAAAACTTGATTTTCAAATTGCTCTCGATTTGATTTAATTAAATCACGATGCACACTCATGAGACATAATCCTGTTAACCTTTCCTCTCCCATGGTACTTCTCAACCAAGTCTTCATTCTTCGAAGAGTACTGAAGGATCGTTCTACAGTGGCCGTGGTGCATGGAATTGTGATTAAAATCAAAAGTGCCTGTTTTAGGATGGGATAAAAAACATCGGTCTCGTCGAGAAGGTCAGTTATTTCGACGTCTTTTAGCTGGTCCTCAGTTGACTTTTTTTCCTTCCACAAATTATACCATAGGTCCATTTCCGCAGTAATATCGTCCAATTTATAAAACTGGGTAAAATATTGTGCATTTTGTTCTACTTGATTGGTTTCCATGTCGAGCATATATAATGGATGTATTTTTGTTAAGGCAAACGCTGGAGTATGTTCTTGAGAAAAGCGAATATTTAAAGAGGCTATAATTGAATCCAGATACGGTATAATTAACGAACGCTTCCAGTAGTCACTATCACAGTCTGATGGAGGATTGTTTCTATGTATTTGCCTCTTGGTAATTCGGCTGCAAAATCGTAATTCTTGGGTGGAACCCACGGATTTTTTAACAACTCTTTTTTTCTTTCCATCGTCAGGTGAAATGTTTGTCCTACATAACGACCCAAGTCATTTTCGTGGCAACCATCATTCTCTTCAATTTCGGGATTGACTACAGAGCCAGATGTTGACGGTAAAGATTCTAAATTAGGAGCAGTGACTTTCTTAGATCTCAAAGAATTTAGCGGTTGCTCAGATTCAGATTCAGTTTTAGATGGGCTTGGCGATGAAATTTGATCATTGTTATCATCGCTCCCGCTGCTACTGTCATGTTCTTTTTTCCTCTTGAGAGTTTTAGTAGCTGCAAAACACAATAATGCCGCTATTAGTATTTTATACAGTGTGAGTGATATCCATGTTAGTGTTTTGTTTAACATGTAACATGGAAAAAAACATTTTGTTTTTTTTAATTGGAATTTACAGATATTACACAAATGTCGTCGAATGTAACTTACTAACTGTAACTTACCTGTTTGAAAAAATTTCCTGATATCCATTTATCAGTGTGGAGATACCGAGATGCCCGAAATAGGTAGATTCAGCAGATTTTCCAATAATAGTGTAACGTTTTTAGCGTGAACTTGTTCGACTACGATGTGATAAAAGCTGCCAATTAATTAAAACTATACTTTTATTAACACTTAACTAAAATTCACTCTGATTAATTTAACTAAACACACTAACTAGTTTATGTAACGCCTTGTATCTTGTATTTATTTATAAAAGTATTCTATTCTTCAACCCGGCACTGGCGAAATCTGCCCTCGCCGCCCGACATTGTTCCTTTTATATCCGAAGCGCCTGCTTCTCGAAGATTCTCTCCGCAGCACGTACAAAGCTTCGCGCTGCGTCTCGAGAATTCTCCACGCGGCCGGGAAGAGTCAGAGGCGGACTCAGGGTAATTTTCGTTACAGTACAATCTAATATAAATTTCTGACAATGTTTACTAGTGTAACGTAACTGCTAACAACATAGCTTAGACGTTTATCAACAACTAAGTAAATTAAGTTTACTTGCAGTACTTGCACAAACAAATTAACATTGAATAACAAATGAAAATAATCGAATTCCGTTAGAAAAACAACACAATACAACAAATTCGCAGGGGCCAGGATCGTAATAGAAAATTCATATTTCTTTGCTAATTCCGCTAATTGCAAATCTAGTAGGCTGTGCAGTGCGCTGCGTTTGACTTACGTAGGTATATGAATATATTTTAGTAGTATTTAGTAGTATATTTTTCGGGTTTGTAATTTTTTTAGTAAAACCATAGTGGTTTATTTTGATTTTTTTATTTTCTGCACTTAGCGGAGCCTTTTTATAATTTATAAAAAAATTTAGGGGGGGGGGCAGCTGCCCCCCCCTTCCCCTCGCTGGGTACGCCCTTGTTGCTCGCCGCAGGGTGAAGTTTAAGATGCACGATTTTGATAATTCTATATTCCTAACTTTTTAACAAAAAAACCTTGAGCCTTTTCGAAATTTCTGAACTGTCATTAGAAGCGCTCATGTTTCAAGTATAAGTGTGCAAAAAATCAGAATTTTAGATTGTATGCTTAAATTAATACAGCGGGTAATGTTTAGAAAAACATAGTTTTTCAAATTCGAGCTGAGTCACGTTTAAGGGCCGATTTCAAAGTTCAGTCCTATTAAAAAAAGTTGTACATTCCCATTTCCTATGCCCCAAAGTGTCCTCTATAAGATGATATAGGTTTCATCTGGTTATACCTTGGAATCACTCACCCTCAGAAAACAGCAGTGATTTTATTCCACTAATTAGCAATAAAACAATCATTCCCAACCAAATAATCTTTTTGAAGAATTTAGTTTGAAAAAGTAGAAGTAGGTACCTGCTGCTGCTTGGAGTATTAGAAGAGAGTGTTAATAATTTTACACTTATTTATTGACAATAATTTAATTTATTTATTTATTTTGTACAAAAAAAAGATAAAAAGTTGTGCAGTAGTTAAGAAGTTATGATAGCAGTGCTTTATAGATTTTATTTTTCCCTCATGCAACAATATAATATAATACAATGTTATCTTTTGATAAAAATTGGACAAAGTACAAAAATTATCCTATAAAATACGCTTATAAAATAGAAAGGCAATGGTCTTATAATAATAAATAAATTTTACGCTTGGTCAGAATATTAAAATCCTTAAAAATCGACCCACAAGTCTAACAAGACAGGGCACAAAAATATTTTTTCAAATCGTCTTGATATGGCCGATTTTTTAAGGGATTTAGATACCAGCCCGCACAAGCTTTATTACAATAAGAATAATTATGTGAATATTGTGCTTGAAGTATCAATTAATCATCTACTTACTTATTAGAAAAAAATTAGTTTAGCTACTTACTAAAAACAAAGGTGATGTGTGCACGTAAATTCTTCAATCCAGACTTATCTCACCCTGTTAAATTTAGAAATTCAATTTTCTTCATTCCAAATACATACATATTTATAATACTTAAAAATCCTATAAATTAATATCAAATTCACAATTTTTTTATATTATCACAATAACCATCAAAAAGTGTTAAAAAATTAATTTTGCCCAGGTCTCCAAAATCGAAAATCCATAAAATGACCTACTAATCTAACCACAATATTTAAAGAGTATATTTTTTTATACAATAAAAAGACAGTTAATTTAATAATTTATGTAAGATATTATAAAAATTGTGCGAATATTCCACATTAAGTATATTATATAGTTACATTTAAAGATTTTGAATTAAAATGACCAAATGTTTATGTCGCTATGACTGGACCAGCACGTGCCAGCGACAAATCTGGTTCTGCTGGAATTCTTTCATGTCCATCCAATGAGCTAGTTCTTCTGCACCACTAGAGTTCAACCCCAAACTGAACCAGCCCACCATTTCTTTCTTTTTCGTTACACCTTTGCGATTGTAAACTGACACCATCAACGTTACGTCAGCTAATTGAAACAGAGCAACCTGGAAATTTTGGAAAATTTCGTATTATGCGCTTACGTATTACATACTAGAGACGGGTGGTCCATAATTATTTGGGTCGCAGGTTTCCTTTTTCTATCATAAATGTAGGCCTAGGCCCGTTGATAGGTTCGTATGGTTTGATGGCAACTGTCCCTAAATCTCATCTTATTTTGAATTTATTAGTTTTTAGTGGAAAATTATGTGAAATATAAACAAAAAAAAAAACATTCCAAATCATGATGATTGTTTACGGGCGAACAAGAATTTACTCAACAAATTAATAGCAACATAAGACTTACATAAGGAACGTCGTGTCTGTTTCAAAACTGAAATTCAGCCAAAATAAAGACAATCGTAGGTGAATTAATAAATTTCAATACAAAAGATGTTGAACATGTTCACCTCCTACTTCAATAAAATAATAAATACACTGGACACATTTTGAACCATTTGAGGAGTGTTATTTTTCTCTTGGATTTTGTTTGTTAGTCGATGGCGAAGCTCATCTAACATCGATTTCGATGACCAGAGTAAAAAATATTGAATTTTTGAAATGTGCCACAAGGAACAGTCGCTTGAAGTTAAATCGCACGATCTGGGAGGATAAGGAATGTTGGTATTTCTGATCATAAGCCGGTCATAAAACTCTAATATTCGTAAAGCAGAGCCAAAGTCTCTTGTGTGCCATGAGATGTTGCCCCATCTTGCTAAAAGTAGCTTCGCTGAAGTTCATCAAAATGCAACTCTTCGAAAAATGGTTACCTACAGGATATCTTCCCGATAGCTGATAGCGGGAGTTGATTGATATTTACAGATTTTGTTATGAGTTGGAAGAGATGGCGAACTGATGTTTTTTGTTGATTTTCCATCACCTCCCTAACTCACTCAATGTTTTCTGGGTATACGAGCTGATGATAGACGACAACTGCCACTTCTAGGTGACACGGTTCTCATATTCCGGAACAATTGCACAAATCTCTGAAAAGTTTTTTGAAAATATTTATGGTCCACAACTTCATGGGGGAATTGTCTAGATAGTCATTAGGAGTGGATTGAATTAGTCCACACCTCATTAACTTTTGTGCCATTACGCAAATAGGCTTCCACCATAAATTGTCTTTGTTCATGGGTAAAAACCATTGCGGGGCTCACGTGAATAATCAAGAAGGGAAGAGCGTTAAACGCGGGCCCAACTCCAGCGAAAACCAAGTTCAATAAAAACGCTCATGCGAGTAGAAACAAAACGCAGCGAAAATAACTGATAGGTTTTTTGTGACAATTACCATCCATACGCGACCTGAGCGTAACAATACTAATTATCGAACACTCATCACTATTCGTAATGTATTGCTACAGAAATTACGTTGAAAATATCGATTCCGTAGAGTCAAGTTTGCCCCCGTAATAATAATCCAATTATAAAATAAAATATCTTAAGCTGGGTCCAGGCTATAACAAATAGTTAGACAACAAGTTTGCTTTCAAACCGAAATCTGAAGCATATAACATAAAACATGGTTTATATTTTTCTGCATGTTTGCTAGCTGTATTTTTACTTTTGAAAAATTCATAGTCCTTCTTGAGAAAATAGAAAAAAAAGAAATACCTCCAAATAAAAACCCACAATTTATCCGTATGACGTCACAGCTTACATTTTGACCGTATTGCCACTAATTTTCAACATTAAAAAGTTGTAATAGATTTAATTCTAAAATGTTGGCAAAATACCATGAAAAATAGTTAAATTAATTACTTATGGATGATTCAAGATTTCACTTTTTTTTTTAAATTATGCTTAAACACAATTTAAATCTATTTTTTATATTTAGTTTTATTTATTTTTTTTACGTCGCACTACATTTGGTCACAACTGACAACAGCGCATTCGAACCTTGTACTAGAAATAGACGGTAACAGCCGGGCCGGTCAGCTGCTCACAAACTTGGGCCAAATGGAAATTATTCGTATGGCGTCATCACTTGGCGCGTTTTAATCATTTTGAATTTTGCCAGTTTTGAAGTGCCTGTAAAAAACTTATTTAACGTTGTAGATAATTTTTATTTGGTATAGTATATGCCTAAAATAGTCCCTCGACCCTCCTTCAGGATTTTATACTCAAATTACGTATTCAAATTTTAGTGAAAGAGCCCATAGGAATCGAGTTGATTACGTCTCGTGCGACTATTCGTGGAATTTTATTGTGTTCGATTCAGGCGGGCTTTTCTGGATAGATCCGGAATACGATGTCGACTATACATAGCTCATGGTCAGCGCGTAAAGTCAGCCTTATAACAGCTATGTGACAGTCAGTTTTAATAAGAATGTTTGTAGTAGGTGAGTATAAATACGAGATTTGTTGAGTACGTTTCGATAAGTGATAAGTGAAATTATATAAAGTCAATTTGTTCAATAAAAATCGATATTGTTCTGAAAAAGTGAGTTTTAGTGGAATCTGTAACAATCTGGTGTCAGAAGTGGAATTATTAGCAATACAATGGACCTGCTTTCTCATTTTACCTGTGCTGCGCGCGCCGCTTGTGGGTGACAGGTAATTAAATCGTGAATTTACTGAACGCGGTCTGACACTGACATATTTAAGCTAACCTCAATAATCAATCAATATTGCTGAAAATTATTACAAAAACTGTTTATGATACAATGGTTCAAATATGTTGTATGAGATCTTCTCAGAATAAGGCGAAAAAGAAGTCAAACCTTTCTTTTCACACTAACCCAAGCAAGCAAATTGTGAGAAAACAATAGTTACGTGCTCTCAACCCGAATGGAGACGATTCAAGTTGGGAGAGACATTTGAGGGGTTCGTAAAATAACGATTTCTATATCAAATACAATAATAATTGTACAATTAAAGGTTTGCTGCAAACATTTTTGTCCAACGGTGGGTTTTCTTTCTAATTGATGGTAATACATATTTGTCATATTTACGTTTAAAAATAAACAAAAACAGAATCATTACCGAAATTGCACAATTTGACAAGTGTAACTAATCAAAGTCATTCCACACAGGTGTCGCGCGTCATTAAATGTGTCTCTTTCTTTATTGCAAAAATCTTAAGAAACTCTCCTTGTTATTCATTGCATGAGAAAGGTCCATTCCTGTGTTTATTTGAGATAATTAGTAGGATCATTAAGCAAGATAATTACCGGTGTATTAATTTAAGCTAATTAGTGGGAACAGTCACTAAACATTTATTGGAATGAGATAGTGACATTATTATTGGATTTGAAATCGAAAAGTTCACAAACGGATTATCGAATGTAATACCATAAGAGGTTTCAGGATTACCGGATAATACTTTTACCTGTCAGGTGAAAGTATTAGGTAATTCTGAAACATCGCGTGGTATTCGGAAGGTTATACAACGAACTAAACTTTAATACAAAATGATTCAAAAACTTTTCTATAATAGAATTTGGTATAATAATTGCCACCAAGCGCGATAATGCCAAAAGGCTTATCACTTGTTAAGCCTCTCGTGTCATATGGGAATAATGTACAGTGAGTTGTATAATCTGGAAAATTCTATAAATTTCCATAGAATTCTATTTGAAAACCGTGACTGAGACAAGACTGACTCAATAGGGTAGTGGACAATTTTTTGAAATATTTTTTTTAATAATCTCCATAACAAAATAAATAGTAGTTGATGATTCTTTGATTTTAGAAAACAAAAATATACCTAAAAAAAAATAAACAAATTTGTACTTATTTTAAACGCTATAATTTACCGCCCGGAAATTACGTCATAGCTGTTATGTCTTACAGTGTCAAGGCATTCCGACAATAATAAGAGTGGGCGAGAGCGCGATCAGTGCGTCCTTATATTTTACATGCTTCTAGAAAAAGATGCAGATAAGCTCAGTGCGCATTGATTGACAAATCGAAATCTCTCAAAAAGTGGGGTTAAGTTGGGGGTGCGTCTAGATGTAATGACACGCAGACGCTGATATATCTCTCTTTTTTGCACTAATGAGTAAGTGTGTGTCAAATATAGGACGAAGGTTTGATTCATTTCATACTCAAATACAACAGCTATGACGTAGAATCAAGGCGCAAAATATTTTCGTTTAAATAGTGCGTCCCAAAACTCTACATTTACAATCGTTTTAAACAAAGTTAGCAATTTTTTCTGAAATTTCTTTCAATAGGAATATTTTTCATTTACTTCATAGATGAACAATAGATCATCGATTTCATTGAAATTATACCTTGTCCACTACCCTATTGCTGATTTAGACATCGAAAAACAGGTTCACAAAGTGATGTGGGAAATTCTAGAAACTTCTACAAACTTCTACAGTAGTGCTTTGTTTCGAAACCGTAAGTGATACGAGAATAGTGACTTTATTACTGGCTTCGACATCTAGAAACGAGCTCACAAACTGATTTTCTGGAAAATTCTAGATAGGTACTTCTATAGAATTCTAATTTCAAACCGTGAATGATATAAGAATGGTGACTTCATTATTACTGGTATCGACATCGGAAGACAAGTCCACAGAGTGATTTTTCTGACTTTGCCACAGAACTTCATATTTGAAATAAAGTTTCAAGAAACATACAGAGGATTTTATGATAAATACACGACAGCAAATCGCAAAAATGGATCAAGTTAATTGTTGGTGGAATTCATGAAAAATTTGGACGGCAGAAGACTAGACGAGGAAGCTCGAAGAGAAAAAGATTCACAAGAAGAGGAATCCCGGAGACAGAAAAACTAGAAGAAGGATTGGCTTGCATCAGTACTTTTACAACAACAAGAAGACCGAAGACAGAAAGAAGGACAAGAAAAGGAGAACCGAAGACAGAAAGAAAGACAAGAAGAGGAATACCGGAGATAGAAAAAAAGGCAAGAAGAACAGGACCGGGTTCAGGAAAATTTTAAATTTCAGCGAGAATGGATTTGAACCGTAATCTCTGAAGAAAAAACCAGACTCGAGAAAATCCTGGAAGGGCAAGATAATAAATTCAAGATTGCAATGGAAGAAGTACGTGAAGAAGTTGGAACCATTCGTCAGGAAGTTGTAACTGTTCATCGGGAAGTTGGAATCGTACGTCAAGAAGTTGGTAGTTTCCACCAAGAAATGGATAGTGTAGCAGTCCACTCCACTTAGACAGTCATAGAGATGTTAAGCAAATGGATTATGGATCTGAGTAGAGATATAGACGTAGAAGATCTGATTTGAGAAAGGGGCAGTGTTACGAGATTGCCTCGAGAGCCCGGACGGATTGTAGGAATCGAGCTGTTTACGTCTCGCGTGACTATATGGGAAATTCTATTGTGTTCGAGTCGGGCATCGCGTTTTTCTAGAAAGATCGGGAGTACGATGTCGACTTTACATATCGCCTAGCAGTAAGTTTACAGTCAGTCTTAAAAGAGCTTGGTTGGTCAGTTTCGATATGAGTGTTGTAGTTAGTTTAAATATGAGCATTGTTGAGTATGTTTCAATAAGTGATAAGTAAATTTATATAAAGTCAATTAGTTCAATGAAAGTTGTTATTATCCCGTAAAGGGAGTGTCAGGGGACCCGTCTACCTTAATAATAAAGAAATACCGATTTGCTGTGCGGAAAGCGTGAGTCACTAGTCAGCAGTCAGTCGAGAGTCGAATTACTAACCCAGTGTTGCCATTTGTCTACCCAAGTGTTAAACGACGATTATCATTATTGTCAACAATGTTAGCCTCTGTATGCCTACCCGAGGACAGAATTGACGCGCTATATAAGGAGGAGGTCGTGAAATACTATTTTCATAACCTTTCCCACACAGCTGTGCAAAATTTAAAAATACGTAGGTAGGTACGTTTCTATCTATGCAAAATTGTGCCACATTGAACGAACATGGTGGAAACACAAAAAAGGACGAGTGGAAATGGAGGTACATTCGAAAAATTATTGAAGTTTCTAGTTTCTTGTGCAAAACTGCAAAAGTTGGCTTTCTTTGCAAAATGAAGTGTGCAAAATTCTGGAAAAAAAATATTAGTAGATTATTATGACGGGCAAACTTGACACCCTGAACTAACTTAAATATTATCCCATATTGAATTTTTACCTGGAACACAAAAGTCTCCTTAAAAAGCGGATTCGGTTGTCCTCGTCTAATCGTCGTCTTACTATGAGCCAGCTCCTGGCCAGTGCTGCTTACCAAATTCAATTTAACGTAAGTATCTGGAGCTCGGTTTAAAGCGAGATTTCTGAAATGCGACCCTTTTACCACTTCCGCGCTGAGCCGTCCCGTGATGGCATTATAGCAGAGTCCTAAAAGTAGTTCCGGTACTCCGCCGTGCTGCATTGAGTGCGCGGAACCTGTACTATCAGATCGGGCTAGACTCATTAGTTCGCCAGTGCAGCCACTCAACTAAGAAAATTATGTATTTTAATCATTTTTGCAAGAACGAATACTGAAATAAAACTATTATTTCTACCAAATGGAAATAAATCGATGAAAACACACCTTTACAGCTGAAGCATATATTTTGATTTAGAGTGCCTGCTTATTATTTTCTAGTCATTTTAGCCAAACCATGTTCATTATAATATTTCATAAGGATTAAACAAGAAATAAGAAATCAATGCAGTTGTTTTTTGCTAATGTCGCAAAATATACCCAAAAAATTAAAACTAAACATACAGCCCATCCGTGAAACCATGAATGGTTTCACCGGATGGTGCTGTATGTTTGGATGTTGTTCGCATCGGATTTGGCATTTTCAAGTCTTCTCAGCTGTCGAGTCTGCTTTTGAGTTGTGCCTGCACAGAGGATACGCCGGTGTTGGCGGTGTTGCCGGGTTTGATTCGGCTTTTCTACTCGCTGGGCAGCGCCTCCGTGTTGTTGTGTTGGGTTGTGTCCCTGTTTGTTGCAGGGGGAAAAAAATCACAATTTAAAAAGGTTCGATGTGCCGTAGGTGGCGCTTCCTACTAGTGATATCAAAATCGTGAAAAATTTGTATTTCTCGCCTTAACAAACCCCCCGATACGTAATTTCGGATCGCTGTGTCGTTTCATTGAGGAATAATTGACAAAAATCGAAAATAAAAATAAAACTTTGACACCCTGTATATTAAGCACTTTGAGGTTGCATGTTCCTATATCTCATTTTTTATAAAAATTTTAGGTCTGTCACCTGTCAAACGCCGTGGGACTCATTCAGCAAAAGATACTCTAATAGCAATTTTATAGAGGCTTGTTAAGTAATAATACAGATCATTTTGAAGAAGAGTAAGTAGTAGGTAGACTCATACTTTGCGAGCAGCCAGAAAAAAATTCAAAATGGTTTCCCTCAAAACAAGAACATAAATAAGAAGTACACGTGGACTAAAACTTCCCCAGGTTTTGAAATCAATCATCGATTACCTAATTACCAAATAAAAAACAAAATTGAAAATTGAAAAAAGATGTCAGACCGCAATGTGGAACAACATGCATATATACATAAAAATGAACTCTCCAGTCTGCTGAGGCACAAATTTAATGATATCTTGACTGGTGCAAACACTGCAATCTGCCTTTTGATACCCTCAACCGTTTTGCCGCTAGAGGGTGTTTCTCGATTTTGAGCGATAAGGTGAAACCTTCCTAACTTTTTTATTTATGAAAATAATTGATTTCTGTATTAATAAAAAACCCTATATATTAATAACTCATTGATAGCTCTAATATTGCTTATTTTAATGACAAATATAAGGTTTAATAGGCCTATCTCTAACAGTTTTCTAGAGAAACAATGTGTTAGAAGGAGACCTATCTCATTTTCCTTATGGATATAGAGTTCTTTTTTAACACATTGTTTCTTATGACAAAACAGATATAATTTTTTTCTGGAAAACTCGAGAGGTTATTCACTAAGGGAAAAATGTGACAGTATTTCGGATTTAGAGCGATTTTGAGGGATTTCGGGTGATTTCGAAGAATTTCGGTAAGATTTCGGAAAGATTTCGAGGGATAATTCACCGTGAAAAGATTTCGGATTTAGAGCGATTTTGAGGGATTTCGGTTGATTTCGAAGGATTTTGGGTGATTTCGGAGAATCTCAGGTGATTTCACAAATATTTCAATTTGATTTTAGACTGTTATTTATCTCATAAGTATATTTGAAAGTGTATTAGTATAAACTGAAAAACGGCCGCGTTGACCGATTTTTAAATTTTGGGCCAATTGCGAGGAATTTTTGGGTATGCGGAATAATTTCTGAGAGATTTCGGAGAGATTTCGGCGGATTTCGGAGTGATTTCGTGGATTTTGGAAGGATTTCGGGGATTTCGATAGGATTTCGGAAAGATTTCGGAGATTTCGGACGAATTTGTGACACGATTTCAGGGAGTGATTAACCCCTCAGAAAAATTCGAACAAAAAAGATGGACCTATCGAACTTTATATCATTGAAAGCAGCAAAAGCAGAGTTATCCAATCAGTTATTAATATATACGGTGTCCGGTGTCCCATCAAAACAATCGAACTCTGGTTAATATCTCGAATCCGGGAATGAATAGAAAAAAACTGAGAAAGTCACTGGATTCTCTAACCACAAAACGGTTCAAAATATCATAAAATTTGAGCCTCAGAGTGGGGGTTAATTTTTTTGTATCTCGCTCAGAAATAAACGTTTTCTATCAAAAGTGTCCAGATTGGAGAACCCTGCACATATCAAAAAACCGAAAATAACAAATAAAAATACCTATTCCAAATAAAAATATAGGACATTTACCTATCTGATAAAAACAAAACGATAAATTCAACAATAGTGTAGCTTGGACAATTTTCCTATAACATTTTATTGGAAAATTTGTCCATGAACTTTTATTGGAAAATTCTTTTATAAAATTTTTCTATCTATGATTTTTTTTAGAAAAATTAGTAGTTTTTGAGGCTCACAGGCCCCCCGCGCCCCCCCCCCCCCCCTGGATCCGCCACTGTCTACATGTGAAAACCCACATGAAGAATACAAAGCTATTAAAACAAACATTCACCAAGCCGTAATCAAATCAGCACTGAGTCGAAAAAAAGAACCCTAAAGAAGAGAGCCATAATGGTCGGATGAAGATTGAGGGAAAAATAGAGGATAAGAGAAGGCTTATCGACATACCGTGTCCCCCCATAATGTTCGCTACATATCGGATTTTTTTTAATTTGTAGGAAATGGATTTTTTGCAAATGTGCGATCGATCCTGCATGTCCGATGACCTAATAGTACATTTTGGCATCGGTCACGTGATCACTGTTGTGGCGGCAAATTCTTGAGCATATCCATGGCGAGAAAAACAAGTAATTTCCTATTTTTTGTTCCTTTCGCTCCAAATTTCGCAGACAGTCCCAAAACATCGTTGTAAATTCACGTTTTTCAAATAATTTTTTCCGATATTTTGCCATGTGACCCCACTTTTCGCGTTTCCATATCTAAATTTTCAATTTCCCATATGTAGCGAACAATATGGGGGACACTGTAAAAAAAAACAGATCAGAGTCAAGACGAACCCACAAGCAAAAGTAAAAAGAATGATAGAGTCAAAGAAAAATGAATCATGAACCAGAATATATCGTAGGTCAAAGAAGTACAGAGAGTTGGAAAGTTGTAAAAACATTGAGAAAAGATACATCTAGAAATATAATGTCTTCAATAACATGAATGGAATCAAAAGCTTTAAAAAACACTTCTGTTAGTGACACTAACAGAAAAACGAACAATCAAAGCCATTGACTCCCCGATATCGCTGACACTTTCTGAAGTTAAAAATTTTGGAATCTAAAGAACGGTAAAGCTTCTGGACCAACATTCCGACAGAATTAATTAAATATGGCACAGGTGAACTATTTTATCGAATACGAAATCTGTTCCAGGAATAGTTAAACAGAACTACAGAGAGTAGGAGAACTTCATTTCTCCACAATAGACAAAAAAAGGAGAACAGAGAGCTGGAACTTCCGTATGAGTAGAATCCATGGAAAAATATGGAACAGAGTTGAGAACGAGTAAGAAGCAGAAGAGCAAGCCGGACTTTGGGCGGGGAGATCGACCGTGGAGGTAGACGATCTGTTTTGTATAACAATAATGATCAAAAAGAAAATAGCCTATGGGCCAAGAGTTACAGGTGCTGTATGTAGACATGGGCGTCGTTACGAGGTTTCTCAGGGGGGGGCAGTATTATCATAAGACCATTTCCATTAGCGCCGCAGGCAACCGCCGTAGGCTAATTTTTTTTGGCACCACGCCCTTTTTTGAGCATTTTAACGTACTTATTTGATATCGATATTTGTTAAAAATTATGGTATTTTTTTCCGCAACAAATTCACTGTCCGCATCATTTGTTTAGGTAATTTTCCAATGGCTGGTATTATAAAGCACTGAATCGATGACTCCATGCAAATTGATAGGATTCAACCAAAGGTTGGAACTTGGAACTCTACCATTGATGAAATTCAATTCCGTTAAATGTAATGAAAATGTCAGCCAATTTTTCAAAGTACAGTAGACTCGCGCTAGTGTGAACACAAAAAAAAACGGAAGTGTTCATATTATCGAGACGTTCACACTATCAAAGGTCTACCTAAAGTGTGTTTTTTTTTTAAAGATAATTCCCCAAGTCAAAAATTTAGTAACTATGTTGGCAACACAAGCCTTTTCTACATAAAAAATTTGAAAGCAATGACAATTTTACATTGTATTGCCCACATAATGTCATTTTGACTTTTATCTTTAAAAAAAAAAACAGACTTTAAAAATGCAAAATATTATCAGCAATGGCCTCTAAACTTAAAATTCAAGAAAAATTAATACCATAGGTACTTGCAAATCTATCCATTAAGTAAATTTTCCCAGTTTATTGATTAAAGTGAGATGTAATTTTTGTCAAAATGGTTCTACCTGAGCATTGGCTAGCTTCCTACTTTGTCTTAAAGTTTTTTAGGCTTTCTGTGTCATTAGCGCGAATATATGCTATTGCTTTGCTGGCAATCTTCTAGAATTTTTGACTTAATTCTCATAAGGTCTGTTCTCACAAAAGTCCCTGACAGTTTACAAACTGTCAGGGACTGCCGTTATTTTCAAATGTAACCACGCCGGGACCTATCAGTTTTTTGAAACTAGATTTTTTTCCCTATTTTTTGATATCGACATTTTTAAAATCCGCTGAGAAATAACCCAAAAACTTTTGAAGAATCTTTATTTTTAAATGCATTTTTTTGTTTTTTGTTTTGTTATAAATCTTTCGAAAATGCGGTCCTATCATACGTAAAATGATCTGCTGATGCCAGAAAACTCAAAAAATACTGGTTGTCCCGTTTGAAAATTAAAAGTTATGGCTACTTCCGGTTTAACCGGAAGTGACTGGTAACCCAATTTACTTCTAGAAAACTCAAAAAGTT